ATGCAGCCACATGTGATTTGCATTTATAACTATACTCTTTTCCCTTGCTTGCCTGTGTAATGACTATGAACTGGGCATGTCAATTCTTCAGAGCAATGTTTTCAAGCAAGTTTGTTTTTTCTATAAATAAATGGTCAACTACCCTTTGTTCAGTCTTTCTTAAAATCTCAAAGCAGCCCTCCAAGTATGAATGGAATATTTATTTCATTTATTATTATTAATTTATTTTTAAAATTTATTGTCTTCCCCATCTTACCACAGGGTAATTTTGGGTAGCTTTTTGGAAATAGTTGGGTAAGATACTTCTTGTTAGATTTGGAAGAATTTTTATCCATTGGCCTTTAGAACGCCACATCTGGAATTGAGGAAAAATGATCTGACACTCCCATTAACACAGGGTATTCTTCATTGTCAGAAATCATTTAAAGTATGTTTACTCCACTCAGCTAGTAATGATAAATCTCTTTTTCAGCACTCCAAGAGACAAAATTTGACAGCTGACATAGGGCACAGTCATGTGATATGGAGTTAGGCAATTTTAATGACATCATTATATTGAAAGATAATCTTTCTCAGATTCAGTGACCACAGGTTCCAATAGTCTTGCTTGAGGATAGTAGGAAACCCTACTAGTATGAAACCCTATCTACAGTGTTTTATTTCTGTCTTTAGGCACACCAGGTACCAGGTAGCAATACTGGGAGAAAACTATCACCTTCATGTATTCTTTGTCAGCTTCCAGGATTAATCTGGTTGGCCATTCTGTATAACAGAATACTGGATTGCCTAGTTCCTTGGTTTATTCTACAGCAGGCATGTCAGACTCGTGACGTCATGTGACGTTGCGTGACGTATTGTGACTTTCCCCCCATTGCCGGCAATGGGATGGGCGCGGTTTCGATGTGATGCATCCGGCCCACAGGCCAGCAGTTTGACATACCTGCTCTACAGAGTTCTTTTTATGTACTTACAGGAGAATGCAGAAGATCACTTTGATTCAGATTAAAGTATCTTATGTGTATCAATAAGAAATAAGATGGAAGAGCCATTACCTCTAGGTTGTGTCTCATCAGAATAAGATGCTAGTTTTCCAGAATGCCTTTCTCCTTGATATCCTAATTTTCTTTTTATGTTTTATTTGGGGTAGCATACATAAATGCTATTATCCCCTGCAATCTGAAATATTACATTTCACTTAGCTACTTCAGAATATTTCCAGTTCATTTGACTGAAAGTGTTGACCATGCCAAACATTCTGTTGCTTTGAATTTAGAAATGGGCTTTTTACTCTGTCAGTTTCCATCAAATTTGTAGCCAATTATTAATTGTAAAGTATCCTAAACATTTTTCCAAACGCACAACAAATCTATGTAATGTTGCACTGTAACTTTCCTAAAAAATAAGCCCTCAGGGTTTTTTGACTAACATTTCTATAAAACTCTATAAAATTAATACTGGGTGTTGCCCAGATGTGATGGGAGCCAAGCCGACATGTTCAGTCACCTACATCCTTCACTGCCTTTGCTAATTTCACACCAGTGTCACTGGGGAGCCCGCAGTGGTAGATTTTTTTAAACAATCAACATGTTTACTAATCCAATTAACCTTCGATTAAGGTTTTAAAATCAACACTATTCTTTTGGCCTGAAGAGGTAATATCAAGCCCTAAGAAATGAGCTACACCATGACCTTTACTTTTAATGAGATCAATAGAAGTTAGTGTCGCCATCCCTTAAAATAATTGGCAAATATTATGGCTGAATTAGAGCCAATGGTTAGCATGTTTTCTAAATTGGAATAGACAGGAATAAACAGACATGTTGGTTACCATCTTGTACCACTTGTTCCATGGTTGGCAGTGAGATTAAATCATTACAACATCTGTTTGATTCCAGAGATAGTAACATGAAATACCTCCAGGCCAAAATCTCTGTATTTTATATGATTTCCTTTAGAAAAAAAACCTCAAACAAAATACTAGTTTCTATGTTTTGGGCCAAAGAATGGAGTAGCAGCTTGTAAACCTTATATAAAGAGTTATGCTAAAATTCATTGATGTGTTCCTTATACAGAGATGGTGGCTAAAATAAGGTGAACACAATCATTCCTCTGCAGAGACTGTCCCTGTGTTCTTCAGAAGCAATATACTCTATGACCTAAAAGATTTGTTCACTGCTTCAGACAGATCTTTAACTATTATAATATGCCCTTCTATTCTAGTAATTTTGTAGTATATCTCTAAGGTATCATCTTGAAAGTACTGCATGCTTTCGTGTGTTTTTATTTTCCTTAATGAGGACAATTTTAGTGTTGATAATTTAGGCAGAAAGGTTTAGCATGCTATACAAATCCTTAATAATCTGGATGTTCTGTATAATTTTGCTTCCATAGTTTTAGGAGGAGTGGCTTTGGCATTTGTGACATTTAACCCTCCTTTCCTACTCTGTACCTCCTAGATTCTGACCATCTGCCCTAACATTTGAACTGTTATCATAATCATAATATCGTTAACATATTTTAAAATTAACCTATTACCTATTTTTTAATCTTTTCCTTTTCAAGGAATTACCTATGAATTGGTATTGTCATCTATTTGGCCCCTGAGAAGGGAAACCAATATGCAAAGCAATCCTAAACTATGCTTAGTATACAATTTTTGAGCAATTATTCTTTAGAAACAATCTTTTACATTAGTTATCTTAGTTGACTTTAAAAATTCACTAAAAGAATATTTTATTTCATTGGCTTTGTTCACACAACATACTTAGTCATACAGTACTTCAGTTATTAATCCAGTTTTATGGGTTTATACAATGAGCCACAAAATAACTCTATGGTCTGGATTCATATCAGACACTATAGCAATAGCAATAGTACTTAGACCAGTGGTTCTCAACCTTTTTAATGCCATGACCCCAACCGGTCGTAAGTCGAGGACTACTCAACCGGTCGTAAGTCGAGGACTACTCAACCGGTCGTAAGTCGAGGACTACTCAACTGGTGCAGCACCGTTTGCAGAATGGGACTTTTGGCAGAAACAGCCTGGACAATTCCTATTGGCTTTTGAAAGCCAATAGAATTAGACTCTGTTCAAGAGAGTCTATTCTATTGGCTTTCAAAAGCCAATAGAATAAAAGGGAGTAGCACAGCTAAGGAAAAGGGGAAAAAAATGGTGGACTGCGTTGTTTGGCGACCCCCGTGAAATGGTCGTTTGACCCCAAATGGGGTCCCGACCCACAGATTGAGAACCACTGACTTAGACTTATATACCACTTCATAGTACTTTGTAGTACTTTAAGCAGTTTATAGAGTCAGCATATTGCCTCCAACAATCTGGGTCCTCATTTTACCAATCTTGGAAGGATGGAAGGCTGAGTCAATCTTGAGCGGGTCAGGATCGAACTGACCTGATCGAATTAGTCCACAATGCTGAATTCTGACCACTGCGCCACTACGGCTTAATGTATTTAACTAGCTTGTTCACTGTTTCACGTAACTAAAAGAGAAATAGTGATAATTTTATATTATGGTAAGAAATCTTTCATTGTTATAAGCTTAGGAATGTTGATGTGAGGCAACAGGTACAAACACCTAAGAAGATTCACAATCATATAGCAAGTGTGGTAAACAACTATATATCTGCTCAAAACTATTGCAGTGTTTGAAGATAGGTTGAAGTCAAGTATGTAAAAGTCCTCATATCCATTTTGGCTATTTTTATCATTCCATCAGAATGGATGAGTTATGGTAAATTTAACAAAAGTAATTAACTAATTGTGTGGATGGTACTTGACAACTTTATAAGCCATAGCTGTGGTAGCATATGAGTGATTTCTAACCTTATGTGCCCAGTGAAAAGATACGGTCAATTTGAAATGATATAGAATAAAATAAATAATACTCTGAAGTCGACGTGTTACCATTGGTACAAATTCATATGTTACATTATTTTTCCTTACAAAACCTGGGGTGGGGCAGTAAGTGGGATGGATTACTCACAGATAATTCTCATTACACCCTGATTATACTGTCAATTCCTTGGTAGAAGCTCTGCTAATTAAACTGCATATATAAACAAATTATGTTTGTAGGGTAGAAGTAGAAAAGATTTTAAAAATCAGGTACTCCATTTATTTTTCCATTGCTATATTCTTAGTTCACAGTTTCTTCTTTCATTTCAGTAGTGAAATTAATGTTTCTTTACTTCATGCTGATTGGCCAATTGGTCCAGAAAATTAAATGTTAGATCTGTTATTTCCTAATTAAATGAGCATTCATCCTTTCATTAGTACACTGTAATATTTTGACATGCATCCTTTTTTTTTAACCAATTGGATTCTGTTCATGCTTGAAGGCGAACTCAAAAGAAGTAAATGTAGTCAAATACATTTGAGTCATATTTTACTGGAAAATGTTATTTTCCAGTCTCTGGCAGGCACAGATTTACAGTTCATTTCAGATAATACTTTACCCATAGGCTCTCATTCAGATTCACAACTATATATAGATGGTCATGCAACAATATATCTGAGCAAGAACAACATACAACTTTCCTGAATGAGGTATTTTTTACAATTATATTTTTCATCTTCTCTGATAACTCACTTGTAGCTATTCAAGTGCACACACAAACAAGCATGGTCTCCTTAGTAAATAAGGAGATTTATATTTGGGGAACTCACTCACCCTGACACATATTGCTTGTCTATGATCTGGGCACCAAGAGTGTTCTTTGTGATTAATTTTGACAAACATGTTTACATTTCTGCTAGCATAGTTCTAGTTCTACCCAGATGAGGGAAAGATAACGTAAATGCTTTCTCTAAGTACACATATGTTGGTTGGTTGATGTCATTTTCTCTTGAATATCTTATGCCATAAAAAGGAATTAGCCAGCTACTTCTCTGCCATTCCAATAGGTGATACTGCTCTGAACTAGGTTACAGTCCTATGCTCCCTATCTTTTGGGGATCTTGCATCTCCTTCTTCTCTCTCCTCAGATCTCTCGCAACTTGGGAAAAATATACAGTGAAATGATCTTTGTGAATGGTTTTGTGCACTGTGACCCACATCCTGGCAATGTCTTGGTGAGGAAGTGTCCAACTACAGGCAAGTCACACATTATACTTCTGGACCATGGACTCTATCAGGTATGTAGCTGGCTTGTCAAACAAATAGAGAGATAATGAAGGCCAGTTTTGTCATTAAACAGCAACATTTGACCACATGTAGGGAGAAATCTTTTTAGTATGGCAGCAAACAGCAGATTATTTTCATGAGGTGCCCTTTCTACTGCAGAAGATAGATATTGTAGTAATGCCAAGAGCAGCTGAGCCAAAAAGCCTATTGGAGAGAGAGGCTGCGCTAAGGTTGGGCAAATACAGCTCTAGACTGCAGGGGAAAGAAAGCAGTGTTAATATTTCACCTGGAACATGAAGCCAAATTTAGAATATAAGACAGGTTCTTGACTCAATGTTTTGTTGATTGGGAGCCACCCAAAGTTCAAAATAACATCGGCACATATATAAATGTTCTAAAGAAATATATTTTTAAATAAATAAGAGATGCCATACATGCTCACCCAATGCTCCAGAATTTAAATCAACTGCCCGTATTGGTACGAAACAAGTGTCTCAGGCCATTTAATTCTTCCAAGAACAATCTGTATTGAGGAATCCTAGTTTGCTCTCTGTGCTTGCTTGTTTTCTTGCAGACGTTTCATTACAACACTGATGATGTTACCTAGTTTGGGTAATGAAACGTCTTCAAGAAAACAAGTAAGCTCACAGCACCCCTCATTTCAACCCTGAGCTACAAATATTCTCTTTTATTGGTACAATCTGTACTTGGGTCCACATACTGTTTAACAATATTTTGCCCCTTTGGGATTGTTTTCTTCTTCTTCTTAAGGTCCTGACTGACAGCTTCCGCTTGGATTACTGCCGACTTTGGCAAGCCCTGATCAAGGCAGACGTGAAGCAGATAAAACAATACAGCCAGCGCCTGGGAGCAGGTGACCTGTACCCCCTGTTTGCTTGCATGCTTACAGCACGTTCCTGGGAATCTGTCAACAGAGGCATTGATCGTTTGCCCGTCACAAGTAAAGAGGTACATTTTCTTGTGATAATGGATAAAAAAAGTAACACACAAAAATGCCACGCTGAAGATTCACTGCTGCCTCAGATAGAATAAGCCTGGCAGCTTACATTATACCGAGTCTGCTCTCTCCTAATTGCCCAATAACAGTTTCAAACTGGGGATCAGCCATTCCCGAAATTGAATTTGGGGTTTCCTGCATAAAATACATAATGCCTTTCACTGCCTTTATCAGTGTAAACCAGTTCTTGTGCTATATTTTTAATATAGTATAATATATATTATGTAATAAATATTTAATATAGTCTTGTGCTGTATATTTAATGTAGTATTTTAATATAGTATATACATATTTTAAAAATATTTTTAACATTTTAATATGGTATTTTAATGTAGGTAATTAAGGTGTCAGGCTTGGACCAAAGAAATTGGGATCCAAATCTCAACTCAGTCCTGAAGGTCATTGCATGACATTGAGTCAGTTGTTGTCTCTGAGCAAAGCTTCCCTCTGGAGCAGTGATTCTCAACCTTGACAATTTTAAGGCATGTGGACTTCAAGGTTGAGAAACACTGCTCTGGAGATTGTCTTTGTACAGATAAAATTAAGGGAGACCTTCTGAATGAGCTGCTCACTAAATGCAACTAAGTAAATAAATGCCATCAGAACTATCCTAGGGGAAACTCTAAAGTTCTTTTTAAAAAGGAGACATAAATCAGAGATAAAACATACACTTTGTGTAATCAAAAAGCTCTCAGATTTTGCATTTCCTTTTGAAAAGAGCTTGGCTTCTCTAAGAAAGATCTCTGTCTACTAACTTGGAAATCTTCTGTTGTTCATGGTAGATAGTGCTGACAGTCTATGTGAATCTTTTCCTTCCTGGTCTCCCCTACATTTTTAATCTGATTATTTCAGGATGTAGAAATCCGGACCAATGCTGCTACTTACTTACCTCAAATCACTAAGCTTCTCAGCAATGTTCCTCGTCAGATGCTGCTGCTGCTGAAGACCAACGATTTGCTAAGGGGGATTGAATCCTCCCTGCAGACACGGGCTAATGCCAGCTCCTTCCTCAACATGTCTCGCTGCTGCATACGAGCTGTTGCTGTGTAAGTCCCTATTCCCAAAAGCATGATTCTTTATTTTTTTTTACACAAAAAATCCATAAGGGATTTCTAGTCATTGATAAATGTAGATATTGCCTTCTCTAATCGAACGAGTTAATTTAGCCACTTTAACAAGTTCCATTAACTTCATCAACCATCCCTCCATTACCCAATCTTTCCATCTTTGTGCATGTAATAATCTTGTTGCAGTTATCATATACAAAAACAATCTTCTGTGGTTCTTTTCTAACTGTTTACCCATTGGTCCCCATGTTAATTGGCTATGTTAATTGGCTATGTGATTCCTATTTGCAATGACTTTGAAATGCAGAAACTACAAAAAAATCAGCTTGGTGCATTTTTCTATGCAGTAGACAATACTGTAGTAGTAGTAATATATATATTGGTTTTATGCAAATACGTTCAAAGAGATATTTTGCTATGTGTGTGGGCATTTATGAGATATTTCTCCAAATCATTAAAGTAGCTACTCCCAGCTATCTAAACAAACATTTAGCTATTTCACTTCCATTTTTTCCAATTTAAACAAAATGGACATGCAATGCATATGGAAACAGCTGGGAGCAGCTTACAAAATAGTGGGGTGAGTTTGGAAAAAAGCACAGCTGCTTCACTGATTCCAATGGTTAATTTGTATATCTTTCATATTGTTGTGAAATGCCTCTTTCAAAGTATTTGTCCATTCGTGATATTTATTATCTGCTGTTGTCTTGAAATAGCATAAGGAAATTCAATTAAAGTGGAGAAAATTGCTTACAGAGTTGTAGACATAGCATACCATTCATCACTTGAGGAGAATACCAAATGGGCTTGGGGGTGTTTGGTTCTTTCTGTGGAGGTATTTCTGTTTTATCTGTCATCTTCATCAGTCTTCTTTCCTGATCACTCTTACCTGTTCTCTCCATCCCCACCTTCAAAGTAATTCTGAAAAGTCTGTGCTTCCTCTCACAGGTTTTTCTATACAAGATTAAATAATTTATTTTCTTCTTCTCCTTTGTATTGTTATTGATGTCTTTGTCTCACTCATTCTTCTTATAAAGCATAGAGTAATTGGAGAATTTAATGCAACGGTACCGTAAATGAAGAGACGTACTTTTGAGTCCCATATGAGAAGAACTACTGGGTAAATCAGTAAAGACTACGTTTACTGTACTCAGCTGAAATTACAAAATAATTTGTATTTTAGAAATTGTTCCTCTCTAGGTATTTTATTGTTACTTTATAAGGCAGTTAATTAATTTCTTTTTGTGTTTTGCTCAGGTATCAAAGGAGCAAGAGTAACTCGCTGTTCAGAAAGGCCCAGATATCCCTTTCAGAGGCCTTGAGCTTGTGGCAGATCAACCTGCACGAACTGTTTCTATGGCTGAAAGTGTCCCAACTGGGAAAGTGGGTCATTGCTTTCTTGAAGTGGATGCACTATTCTAAGTAGCTGAAGAATGTAAATTGGTGAAGCTGGCCTTGATTTTGTCTTGCCTTTCTCAGTGGTGGCATTCACTTCTTATTTATTTTTTCTGTAGTGTTTTTGGTGCTTCTTCATGTAAAAAAATGACAATAAAGGTTATCTTATCTTATCTACTGTACATGGTGCTATAAATTCATAGTATTTTGCAGGGTCATTTTTGTAAAAATAGGAAGTACAAAATGGCAGCTAGAATGAAAAGAAGCCAGAAACTTGCATTTCCAAATATAGTGCAAGGGAAGTGGTAGGCCTTTGGAAGTCCTCCAGGTAAAATCTCAATGACCCAAATTAATTTTTATGGGGCCATTTTTTAAAAACAGGGAAACTAAATTAGGAGACACAACTTTCAAATCTGCAAAGAACAGTGAACTTTTAGTAGTACATTATGGTCATCTTCTCCAAGTTCTACTTTTAAGATGTTTTAGACTATAACTACAGTTGGCCAATAGTTAAATATCAGTTGAAGTTCAAACCATGTTGAAGATATTGAGTTGGGTAAGACTGTCCTTTGGGTTTCTTGAGCTGTTGTACTACATGATAGCCATGTTAATGTATTCTCATCTCTCCTGAAAGATGCCAAAACAAAATGGAAATCACATGGACACGGAACTCTAGCCAGGATAATTGAATAGGTATCTGTTTTGGGAAGGAAAGCCTAGGGTTGAAGATCTGTTTTCATAACTTATTGTTTCAAGAATGCCTTTCCAAGTCAAATATTGATTTGGAATATATATTTGTAGAGGAAATATTCACTCATTTCTTACACAGAATCCAAGGAATATCCCCCCCCCCAAATAATTACATTCATTTCACTTTCTCTATGGAGAATAAATAAATAAATTAAAAAATATAGTAAATATGACATAAAATCTAACGTGGTCATTGAGATTATTATTTCAAAAGATACTAATATATTATGTCAAAGCTGGGATATCATAAATTGTTAGCAAAATCTCAACTTTTATAAAAGTGTTATGGTATAACATAAGAATTGTTTTATTGTAGAGAATAGTGGCCTTTTTCTGTATTAATAAGAATATGCCCATTTTTTCTGTATTAATAAGGATATGCCCATTTAATTAATTATTTTCAAGCAATGTACATAAAACTTTATACACAGAAATTATGAGAAATCTATATTTAATTATTTTGTTGTATGTGGCAGGATTCTTCCCCTTGTTATATTTTTTTAAATGTATAGTAGGTTCTTAGTGAGATCTCCTATAGGATCAGACCAACAGACCAACCTATCAAAAATAGTGCCATAAAAAACAAAACAGAAACACAAGTTAAGATAGGCAAGAAAATGGTTAGGGAGCACCTGTCCAGCCTAGATGAGTTCAAATCGCCAGGACCAGATGGATTACACCCCAGAGTTCTCAAGGAACTGGCAGATGTGTATCGGAGCCACTGAACTATATTTTTCAAAGATCCTGGAACACAGGGGAACTACCAGAGGACTGGAAAAGAGCTGATGTAGTTCCCATCCTCAAAAAAGGAAAAAAAATGGATCCAGGAAATTACAGACCTATCAGCCTGACCTCAATACCTGGGAAGATCCTGGAAAAGATAATCAAACAACGAATCAACGAACACCTAGAGGCAAACAAAGTCATTACTAAAAGCCAACATGGTTTTGTCAAAAATAGATCATGCCAGACAAATCTTATTGCATTCTTTGACCAAGTGACAAAATTAGTGGATCAGAGGAATGCTGTGGACATAATTTACTTGGACTTCAGTAAGGCATTTGATAAAGTAGATCACAACCTACTACTTGACAAGATAGAAAAATGTGGGGTAGACAGAACCACCACCAGATGGATCCGTAGCTGGCTGACCGGCCGTACTCAGCGAGTGGTCCTCAATGGAACTGCATCTATATGGAGGGAAGTGTGTAGTGGGGTGCCCCAGGGCTCTGTTCTGGGCCCAGTACTCTTCAACATCTTCATCAACGATTTGGATGAAGGGATAGATGGGGAACTCATCAAATTTGCAGATGACACCAAGCTGGCAGGAATAGCCAACACTCCAGAAGACAGGCTTCAGATACAGAAGGATCTGGACAGACTTGAACACTGGGCACTAACTAACAAAATGAAATTCAATGGTGAAAAAAGCAAGGTTCTACATTTAGGCAAGAAAAACCAAATGCACAAGTACAGCATAGGTGGCACCATGCTCAATAGTAGTAACTGTGAGAGGGACCTCGGAGTCCTAGTAGACAATCAGTTAAATATGAGCCAGCAGTGTGCTGCAGCTGCCAAAAAGGCCAACACAGTGCTAGGCTGCATTAACAGAGGGATAGAATCAAGATCACGTGAAGTATTAATACCACTCTTCAATGCCTTGGTAAGGCCACACTTGGAATACTGCATCCAGTTTTGGTCACCACGATGTAAAAAAGATGTTGAGACTCTAGAAAGAGTACAGAGAAGAGCAACAAAGATGATTAGGGGACTGGAGGCTAAAACATATAAGGAACGGTTGCGAGAATTGGGTATGTCTAGTTTAACGAAGAGAAGGACAAGGGGGGACATGATAGCAGTATTCCAATATCTCAGGGGCTGCCATAAAGAAGAGGGAATTAAGCTATTTTCCAAAGCACCTGAAGGCAGGACAAGAAGCAACGGGTGGAAACTAATCAAGGAGAGAAGCAACCTAGAACTAAGGAGAAACTTCCTGACAGTGAGAACAATTAATCAGTGGAACAGCTTGCCTCCAAAAGCAGTAAATGCTCCAACACTGGAAGTTTTTAAGAAGAGACTGGACAGCCATTTGTCCGAAATGGTGTAGGGTTTCCTGCCCGAGCAGGGGGTTGGACTAGATGACCTCCAAGGTCCCTTCCAACTTTACTATTATTATTATTATTATTATTATGTATTGGTATATCAAATACTAAAAGTGTACAAGTCGCAATCAAATTTTAGTCATCATTTCTTTGGATATAAAAATTAGACATAATAAATATTGCAAGACTTCTGATGTTATATCTGATATGTAATTTCAGCATTTTATTTGATAAACCATGGGCCTATTAATTAATTTATTAATTTATTCTGCTGAATAAATCTTATCAATTAGATTTCAAAAATGCAAAACAAAATACATTAAAATTTAGTTAGAGCATTCATTGGACCCTGCCTGACTCAGTTCCAGAATAAAATGTCTGATTCATAACTCTTGGAATGTGGAACATTTTATTTACTCAATAATACCAATTTCAATAAAATCCTTCAAAACATTAATCCTTTGTTCTTTTCTGTACATTGCCAAGTATCTCTCCTGTTTATTTGTTCAACGTACAAGCGAAAGGTATATGGGGACAGCCCCAGGCTCAGCTTGGTCTTACTGTTTTGCCAAATAGAACAGTGTGCAATCACAGTTACTGTTTATTTTCCTTCTGTCCTCATGAGTACAATACAACAACATATCACTTATACAAAGCTTAGGGGGCTGCTTTGCACAAGGTCAGACTATTTGCTTCTATGTTTGCTCTCACCAGCAGCAGTTCTAAAGGGTCTCCCAGCTGAGACCTTTCCAGTCATTTGCGACCTGAGCCCTGTGATTATGAAGTGTCCACCTGCTTTTGAAGTAGGTGCTGCCAAAAATTGATAGATGTCATGGGCAGATCAAGAGCAGACTCTCTATTGCTACAACAATGGACTTCCAGCCCCCCCCCCCATTATATTAGACTCAGTGCTTCCATACTGGGACAACAGATGTCTGTGTCCAGAGATGAACTGCACAATAGTGTCTTCAAATCTGAAGGACTACCATGTATACCAGGGAATGCATGTATACCAGGTATATCTAGGGAAATTTTGAATGCAAGACCATACTTCACCCTTCAATATGACTCCATTTTTCTAATTATTATCTAGCCTTCAGTGAAAGTTATATGTTAAATGTTGAAATGCCATTGAAAGAAATTGGAGATTGAAATATTGTTGGGGAAAACTAGAAGGGAACATATCCTTAAAATGGGTCTGTTGATTGCTAAAAAGCATAATAATAATAATAATAATAATAAAAAGTTGGAAGGGACCTTGGAGGTCATCTAGTCCAACCCCCTGCTCAGACAGGAAACCCTATACCGTTTCAGACAAATGGCTGTCCAGTCTCTTCTTAAAAACTTCCAGTGTTGGAGCATTCACCGCTTCTGGAGGCAGGTTGTTTCACTGGTTAATTGTTCTGTCAGGAAGTTTCTCCTTAGTCTAGGTTGCTTCTCTCCTTGATTAGTTTCCATCCGTTGCTTCTTGTCCTGCCTTCAGGTGCTTTGGAGAATAGTTTGACTCCCTCTTCTTTGTGGCAGCCCCTGAGATATTGGAACACTGTTATCATGTCCCCTCCCCCCTCGTCCTTCTCTTTGTTAAACTAGACATACCCAATTCCAGCAACTGTTCCTTGTATGTTTTAGCCTCCAGTCCCCTAATCATGTTTGTTGCTCTTATCTGTACTCTTTTTAGAGTCTCAATATCTTTTTTACATTGTGGTGACCAAAACTGGATGCAGTATTCCAAGTGTGGTCTTCCCAAGGCATTTTAAAGTGGTATTAATACTTCACCTGATCAGCCATGGCTTATTTCTCCTAAGGGAGATATTTACGAGACATTTATTTCATGCCAGTAAGATTTTTTGATCTAGAATTCCTCTATCAACCATTTTTTATGCATATGAACTTAACTCACTGTATGGAAATAAGTGTAATTTTGTATGGAAATAAGTGTAATTTTGAACATTAATCTCTAATCCACTATTTTTTTTTAAAAAAAAATACATTATCCAGATTTACATTTCTAGTTAACGTCTTTAAAAAGTTATTGATTTTATAAGTTTAATCCACTTCAGATTTGGGTCAGACTAGTCAAAATGAACTTTTTTCTATTCCATGTCTCGGAATAATTTATTTGTGTTTGCAAGGGATTTCCAGGTATCTGTCATTTGCACAAGCCTTTGAATTCCAAGGTTAAAATTCAAGGGAATATTTTTAGATTTCTTGTACCTTGTGTCTCTATTAACTCCCTCTCCTGGTCAAATAACATGTCAATTGATGTCAAAAATAAGCATGACTTGCAAGTCTTGTTTGAAGCATATTTCTGATGACAGTGC